GTTGCCTTGTGTGCAGACAAATACATGGAGGAGAGAGTTTGAGTTTACGATTTTGAACGATTTTTGAGTCTTATATGTTTTTCATTGATAACGATATTACGAAAAGCAATACAAAGCAATTTATCAGCAACTGTATTAATAAGTAAACAATTGCTACGGTAAATTTCACATCGATAAATTTGATCGACATGATGATCAATTTAATTGGCTTATTGGTTAATATCCATGTGAATACAAGCCAGATGATGTTAAACATGATTTTAGAAACATGTTCAGTATGATAATGATTATAATAAATATTTGTAAACAGTAGATCTGAAAATTTTTCCAGGTGGACTTACTTTTCCTATGACTCGACGGTAAACTTGATACGTAAAAAAATAACAAATAAAATAATAAGGCGGGAACATTATCGTATATATTTTAAAATAACTGATGCGTATTGAAAATATTGATTTAATTGAAAAAAAAAAAAATGAGAAAATGTATAAAATAAATTACAGAAAAGAAATGAAAGTATCCATTTTTATATCTAAAATGATTTGGTTGAAGAAAAAAAAATTATTCTAAATGTCTAATATAATGTAATTACAAGATTTAAAAATGATTAAGAGAAAATTGGTCCAGCATTAACAACTTCATGTGTTGCTTGATCTTGGTACAATTTAAAGTTTTCAATGAAACGTTGAGCCAATAAATTACGAGTTGAAGTAAATTCTTCTTGAGATCCTTTCCACGTTTTTGCTGGATGTAAAATTTCTGATGGTACTCCCGAACATGCTTTTGGAACTTGCAAATTGAAAATTTCATAATTTTCATATTCAGTTTCAGCGAGTTCACCCGAGTGAATAGCATCAATGATGGCACGAGAATACTTGAGCTTGATGCGTTCACCAACACCATACGCACCACCATTCCATCCAGTGTTGACCAACCAAGCATCAGCTGAATGTAATTCCATCTTTTCTGCCAACATCTTTGCGTAACGGTATGGATGTAATACGAGGAAAGGTTGACCGAAGCAAGCCGAGAAAGTAGCTTCTGGTTCTGTAACACCTTCTTCTGTACCGGCAATCTTGGCAGTATATCCGGAAATGAAGTGATACATGGCTTGCGCGGAAGAAAGTTTTGAAACTGGCGGAAGCACCCCGTAAGCATCACAAGTCAATAAGATAATGTTTTTTGGGTGACTTGATGACATACAAGGTATTTTAGCATTTGGGATAAATTCAATTGGATAAGCACATCGGGTATTTTCTGTAAGTGCATCGTCGTCATAGTTGACAACACGCGTTTGTTCCTCATACACGACGTTTTCCAAGACCGAACCGAAACGGATGGCATTGAAAATCTCTGGTTCTTTATCTGCTGACAAATTAATACATTTGGCATAACATCCACCTTCGATGTTAAAGATACCATCATCTGACCAGCAATGTTCATCATCACCGATCAAGAAACGTTTAGGATCCGCAGAGAGGGTGGTCTTGCCAGTACCGGAAAGACCAAAGAAGATGGAAACATCACCGTCGGCACCTTCGTTTGCAGATGAATGCAAAGACAAAACATTGTGTTTTACCGGCATATAATAATGCATGACCGTAAAGCTATATCAGAGGAAGATAAGCATGATGATTAGAAGAGATTTTTTAAGTCTAAAGTACAACCAAAAAAAAAAAACTTTATAATAGTAATAGGCCTGTGCGGGGTCCGTTGTTTTGTATCACGTTCGGGACTTGTTTGTGTTGCACCAAAAAATTTGGCCAATCAAATCAAACTTCAAAACCAACCAAAAGAAACGGACCTGCCATAATGACACTCACATTCCCTTTTTCATTTCACCAGCATACTCGGTTCCCAAAATGACCATTTCGTTCATATGGAAATTAATAGCCACCGAAGTGTTTGATGTCATTCCAGACGTGTAACGATTTGCAGGGAAAGCACCAGCATTATAAATAGTGAAATCTGGAGTTCCATAATTTTCAAGTTCTTCTTTGGTAGGACGTATTAACATGTTTCGCATAAACAAGGAGTGGTAGGCACGAGCTGAAACAACACGGACCTTGATGCGGTATTTAGGATCCCATCCAGCAAATCCGTCAAAGACGTAAATTCGCTTGCGGGTGTTTAAATAATCAACAGCACGTTCACGATTAATACGGAAAACTTTTTCTGGCAATTTAGTGTTGACAGGTCCCCACTATTATCAGAAAAACAGAAAAAAGAGATCGCGATTCGATTAATGAAATGATCAAAATATCGATTTTTTATTTTTGATTTTTTAAAAAAAAAGAGACACATACCCAAATATCTTTATTAGAACCAGGTTCGTCAACGATACGTTTATCCTTTGGAGAACGTCCAGTCTTGTTACCGGAAGCGGTTACTAGGGCACCAGTGGATGAAATTGCAGAACCCGTCTCATATTTTAAGGCATCTTCATATAACTGAGCGACCGAGGGGTTCCATTGAATGGCAACGTGGTCGTAGTCAATATGTGCGGTATTATGAAGTTCTTCTTCGATTCTAGAGTGAGACATGGTTTTGGTTTTTATTTCTTTTTTCGAAAGTGTAAAGGGGATTGATTATTTTTTTTTTTGATTGAATGGAATATTAGAAAAGATGAATCTGAGGGAATGGATTTCTGAAAAATTTTCTGAAGAACAAACTGGCTAGAAGCTGAGGTTTATATAAAAAAACTTGTAATAAATCCATCATAGCTTTGATTAAAGATAATTTTAATTCGAAGATTAAAAAAAAAAAGTCAAGAAAAAAACACGTAATTAAATTGTAGCACATTTTAATTCAGAGAGGTTAAATCAACGAATCGAAATGCGTAAAAGAGAGCACAGAGTATCCAAAAGGTAATTATATTTTTTGTTTGCATACATATGCATCGGAAAAGTTCGGCACGTTTAATAATCAAACATATTCGTCCGGAAAGTTTCGTGACCTTTTTTTGAAATTGTGCAAGATTACTTGAAACGTTTATTCCGATTCAAATATTTCAACATCCGATTCATATATAAATTCTACTCAAGGTCAATACATCAGTGGGAATTTTGAGGAAACACGATTATTAAAGGTCCCTTTTTCTTCTAATCCTTGTTATATCAAATGAACTCTTGAACTCCCGAAAAAAAAGAAAGCCCAATCAAAGTGTAATAATTAACCCGATCTTTTATCAAAATTCCTAATTATTCCGAATACTTCTTACTCATCATCTGTTTACCGTGAACATGTGTGTGTTTACTTGTTTACTGTACACGTTCTAAATTTTGCATCCTTTTATGGACAAATAATTTCAATAAGCCAATTTATAAATAGATTGCCTTCGCTTCATTTATTTGTCCAAAATTAACGCCGTCTTAATGATTATACCGAAGTTGGATATACCGACTTTTATTATATGAGTGAGTTGTATTATATAAAATAGTCCATGACAATTTTATTTGAATTTAATCATTTTTATCCATCTTTTCTTTAAGATACTTATAGTTAAAAAGTAAACATGTGTTGTTGCAACCACTGCTTTCGAATGTTCTTTCCTAAAATGTACGATCAACACGTGATCACGTGATCAGATATCTCTAAAAATGTATAAATTAAATGGACGTTTAGTCTGTGAATTTCAATTCTTAATATAACTTAGTGCGAATTTTTTTTAATAATTATTTTATACATTTTAGGAGTTGTTGTTTTTAATTAACTTTATTTGATTTTGTAGAAATGATATTACGTTGTGTGTCCGGGAACATCAAAAATATTTACGGTGCCTGATTTCTTTCCCCCTCCCCTTGAAATGTAAATTGCCAGTTTTAGGTTGGTACCAAAAAAATAAAAAGAATAATTTTTGCCCATAAAAAGATCCTTTTATTAAAAAAGCAATTACAAAAACGTTTTTTTTAAATAAATATCTTCCTAAAAAAAGATTTACCGATCTCCTAAAAATACATTGAATAATTTTTCTAAAATATATGCAGGATGTTAGGAACAAGAATAAAAAGGAGACCAATAGACAATGTTTAAGGCGCAAAAAAAAAAAAAAGATATAAAACCTTTTGCCAGGATTTATGTAAATCAAACTTAATACCCTGCATAATAATAATAGTATTGATTCATTCCTTTGATCAAAAGGGACTCTTTTTTTATTGATCAAAAAAGGACGAACTTAGTTTCAGATTCGTTTTTTTTTTTTTTCGAACTTCTGTTTCTTTTTTTTTTTTAAAAAAAAAAAAAAGAAAAGTGCATTCAAAGGTCAGCATTTGTCACGTCTGTTAAAATTTCTGTGGCCTAGTTTCCCGGCGGCTTTTACCAAATATAGCTTTCTCGAACAGGTAAATTCATAAACCGATCACAAAAATGATTTGTACGATACGATTTACTGTATTTATAAATCCTGTTGTTTTACATTTAATTATTACATGCTTCTAAAACTAAGAAAAATTTTTATATTTATATCTCATTATTTTTTTGTTTTTTCTCTCTTTTTTTTTTTTAAGAACCATCTCCATTTGTAAAGTCGTACTTTTGTTGAGGTGTTCTAGTCCTTACATGAAAAGAACCTTTTCTTCCTTTCATTTTTTAAAAATTTAAAAAAAAATTTAAAAAAAAAATTACTTATTTTATCAGTCAAAATTTCACAATGTCCCAACCGAAAAATCTTTTCTTCAGTGCACTTTTGCTCTTCGTTGTTTTACTAGTGACAAGAGTTTACTCTTTTGATCGTAAGTTGGTTTGCGAATTTATTGTTTCGATAGAATTCTTGTAACTTTTTTTGATTTTATCTAAATTTTTTCATTCTTAAAAATTTGTAGCCGCCCAGGTAGATCCCAAAACCAAAGCCACTTGGTGTAATGATCAAATGGCCACCTGTACAAACATTTGTAATGACAGTGGTAGTGGGGGAGTAAGAACCAACTTTTGTAAAGCAGATACACTTGAATATTCCTGTATCTGTTCAAATGGGTTAACACCAAACTCTACTGGTAATTATTTCAACGGTTTCTTACGTGACGGGCGATAACGGGGAGATTAATAAATTTTAAATCTTTCTTAATACTTTAATTCTTTAGAATACACCCAAACCATTCCATACTTTATGTGTATTGCTGATCAAGAGACATGTACAAAAGGCTGTGGTCCCGCTGCTCAAGATTGCGTTAACGGTTGTCAGAAAAATTGCACTGCTACAGTTATCAAACCTCCAACTGGACCCCCAACTACCGTTGGTGATAATGGAAAAATTCCTGATAATTCCGCTTCACCCACAAATAAACCAAAGAATCCTAATACTCTTCTTAACAGTGCCTCTTTCATGATACCCCCCATTCAAGGAAGTTTCTGGTTATTATTTACTCTTGTTATCACTGTCTTGAGTCGCGTAAATTCAGCATAAATTTTATAAACGGTGGGAAATGATCAAACGTGTGTTTCATGGTCATAAATATTAATCTTTGAATTACTTTAATTTTTTTTTTTTTTCTTTCTAAATAATTATAATTATTTAATTTCTTTGCATCATTTCCTATCTAAAATATATATATATATGTATATATATATATTTTTTTTTTTCATTAGACATTTTTTACGCTACAAATTATTATTCATTTTTATTTTTTACTAATTTTTTTCCCCTTTAATAATAATGAGGCTTTTAATCGTGTACGTGTATTTATTAGCACTATTTCATTTAAGCGGTCAAGTAGCTTCAGCTTTATTTTGTCACTCATAATTTTAAATTTTGAATAGAAATATAAATGTCAAAAATTAAAAATTAAATAATAATAATTAAGTTTTTTTTTTTTTTTAACGGGATCAAGGTCAAATATATATTTGTAATTATTTAGATGATATTTGAAATGGTTTACATAAAAATTCTTTGAGAAATCATGAACGACTTTTCGAAATGACAAAAAGTGATTAAATTTATTATAAGGGTGGTTTTTTTTTCCGTGGACCAATCGATCTACAAATTATGGATTTATTAGATCATTATTAATGATACTTATATAGCCTTAACCTAATAACGCTAAGGACTGATATATATAAATCCATTGTCTGTTGTTATTTGCCTTATAAGGTTGGAATACTTTAAACCGACAAAATTTCTTATTTTATCAATAACTCATAAAATTTATTAAAATTCATTCAAAAATTCTGTTAAATTTTCTCAATATTAATGTAATATCGATCATCATTATATATTATAAAGATCGAAGGGGACGATTTGAAAAAACAGAGTTATAGTACGGTCCAAAATCGATAAAATGATGAAAAGTAAAAAATGCGAAGAAAATATAACAAAATATGAATCGATAAGCTTGAATGAAAAAAAAAAAATAAGTATATAGAAACGAATATTATTGTAAAAGGTAAATTATTACAGGAATGTAAAAAATTAAAAGACAAAAAAATTTGAGCTATGAAAAAAAAAAAAAATTTTTTTTTTTAAAAAAAAATAAATAAATAAAATGAAATGCTAAACAAATATAAACATCAATCTAAATAAAATCAAACCCAAAGAAATAAATATAAAAAAATCATCTAGCTATTTTAAAAAGTATCGTTAACTGGCCATAAACCCAATACAATAAAATCATCTATCATTTCTTGAATTTTCTCATCTGTAACTTCAGGAACTTCATACTGAAAGTTTGTCTCCTGGGTAATTTTGGTACCATCAACAGACAAAGCATTATTGTATAATAATTCTTTATCCAGATAAGGACTTAATGGAGTACTCTTGATTTTATTTGTTCTCAAGAGATTTGCCCAAGGACGCATATGTTTATCATTAACATCATCTACAGTATTATCAAGATGCAACTAAGGAGAAAGATATAGAAAATTTAATATTTAATTTAGTTATTTATAAATGGGTTCCCTTTAATGAGATCATACATACTTGAGCAAAGTTAGAAGTAATAGTCCCAAGAAATCCAGTTTGAATTTTAAAAATGTTACTAATGTGTTTGTTTATTCTCTCTTGGTCTAAAATAAATAAATAAAAAAAATAAGCTTGAATAAAATCTTTTCTTTTAAATAATCATTTTAAATAATGATTATACGCACCTGTATTGCCTTGATCGGACAAGTTATAAATCAACACTCCTTTACCGGACCTTTCATTTTCTTCATACCAACCAGCAATATGCCACATTGCACGAACAACATCTGTTACGTGAACAGTATTGATCTTTTGGTCTTTACTCCACAAAAACTTCATTTCCTCTTTGAGATATTGATAAATTCTACCACATACAACACGAGGAACTATACCCATCTGTGCCCCCTTTCCGTAAACAATGGCCGGTCGCAAAATGACTAGATTAAGACCTTCAATTGTCTTCAATTTTTCTTCAGCTTTATATTTATACTTTGCAATTGTGGTCCATGGTTTTATTTTTTCGTCCTCCTTACTAGGATTCTTTAAAAAAATTAGGAGGAACTTTAATAAATTTATTCGTTATTTCACTATAAAGGATAATATAATGGTTACAATCCAATTTACTTTGTCTCCCTGGTAAATTTCCGCTGTCGATAATTCAACAAAGCATTTGACTTTACGTCTAGCAGCCTCTTCAGCATTACGAACCGATAATAAATATACACGTTCTTCGTAAACCTAATTTATATAATTTATCAAACTATTAGATATCATTATTAAAGTAATTAATATTCAATTGAGTATATGATAATTACTCTTTCGCTTTGCGAATATTTCGTTTCGGCTGCTAAATTAAATACGTAGTCATATGAGCTTCCATCTTCCCGTGTAAAGACATCTCTGATAGAAACTAATCAAATTATATCGCATTGTTTATGTATTTATTCAAATGGTGGATTAAATATGTTAATAATATATTCCATTAACACGCCAGTAATATTCATAAAACGCATACCAGGATCAACCAAGTCCTTCTGTTTAACTTCTACGTTGTTGAACGCCTCTTTTTGTTTAGGGTTTAGGTTAGCAGTTAAAAGTAACGACTTGTCAACTACTCTTATTTCTGAAGCAAGTTTATTCTCGTAAAGATAAGGAATAAAGTTACGTCCAATGAAACCTAAACCGCCAAGTACAAGTACTGTCGGTGCTGGTGACATATTTACTTTTATCTTTTTTATAAAAAAAAAAAAAAGAAGCGTATCTTTTAAAATTATCTTACTCCTATGAAGCAGTAAGGTATATTTGAATGAATGTATAAGTTAAGTATCAAATAACCAATGTGATTCTAAAGTTGTTCGAAATGGGGGAGCAGAAATACTTTTGTTTGTGATACACGACCAGTAATTCTTTTTAATAATCCGCAGGAGATCTTCGGATTATGACGCAGCATTGCTCAAAGTTTACGTATTTAGGGTCATTTAAAAGAAAAATTGTACCATTCACATTTTTTGTTTGTTGATGTAAAATAAATTTTTAATATATTAATTACTACATTCATTATTTTTATTTCTAATATATAACATTAAACTACATGACTGAAATTCCCATTATAGTGAAAAAACAAAAAAAAAAAATATTAAAAAATACTACTAAACTACTACCTAATAATTTTCTTAAATACTTTTAATACTAAATTATCATGAAATTGTGAATATTATAATTTTATTAATTGTCTTTTGGTGGCTTCTTTACTGATCTTTTAGTTACATTACTTTCTCCTTCATTATCGCCTTCACTACCATCATCTTTCGGTGAATCTTTATCTGTATCTTTATCATCCGGGGTTGGTGCGTCAGTTTTTTTGTGAGAGGCCGATGGCTAATTGAAACAGACAATATTAATTATATATCATCAAATCAATGGAACAAAAGTTGATAAAAAATAATACTATACCTTTTTAGCCAGAGTCAATAATTTCAATAGAAGCGTGAGAAGACCGAATAAAATAACAAATGCTCCACCGAAAAGCCCTGCTATCTCTGGTTTTTGTTTAATAGCTTCCAAAGGATCTTCATATGCGAGCTCAAGGAAATCATCAACTTCCGTTCGCAAGTAATTTACAGGATCGTCCCAGTAAGATATAGGAGTCTAAATGAACAATTGATAGTAGTAAAATTCAATAATATGTCAGATTTCAAATTGAAAAAAAATTGTGATATTTCTAAAGACGATAAAAAAAAAAAAAAGACATACTTCTTTAACATCTTTCTTCAATTCCTTGTCTTCAGTCTCTTTTTCAATCTTATATTTAACAGCCCATGTTTCTTCAGCAAATTTCTTTGCATCTTCCACAGAATGACCAATATAAATATTATCAAAAAGAATGTTGTCTTGCATAGTCCAGAGTTCAAAGCCAATGGCAGCCTAAATAAACGTGATAACAAATGTGTCAATATAAAAATATTAAACGGTTAAATAAAATATTAAAATAATTCAACTCACGATATTTTCGAAGTTGGAAGGATGTAAATCTTCATAGTAATCAGGGTTTTGAATTAGACGAGCCTTCCATGGACCTTTGTAAGCTGGGTTATCGATTTCTGGAGGATACCATTTACCTTTGTAATTAGGATTTTTCTTCATTGGAGGCTCCCATTCACCACAACCAGGAGCTTCTTCACACTTTGGATTAGGAATTGTTGGAGCAATCCAATCTCCATCCTCTTCTTCATCCCAGTCCTCGGGTTTCTTAACATCTGGGTCTGGGATAAAAAGTGGTTCATCATCAAGCCAACCTTCTGGCTTTTTGGCATCTTCATCAAGAATCTCTTTAGGTGCATCCTCATCCCTATTTAAAAGAAATTTAATTTGAATATTATTTAAGCGATATATAAATGTAAATATATAAATTAGATCATTGGATACACGTAATTACCAATCATCAGGTTTCTTTGCATCTTTAAATAAATAATATTATTATTTTAGATGATGTAATATAAAACTCGAAAAATTATAAAATATATAAACAAAACCTACTAGGATCAGCCATCCTTGGTTGATCAACCCAATCATCTGGTTTTTTATCTAAAATATGTTTACAAATTAACCAAATCTCTCTTGTGATTGTAAATCAAAATTTGAACTACAATTTAGAGCGCTAATAATAATAGATACCTTTAGGATCTTCGATTTCCTTTGGAGGATTGACGGCAGGTGAAAAGTCCTTAAGAAGATTACCGGTCTTGGTTGATTCATTATTAATAAGAATTTCAAATGAATTATCAGGCCTGTAAATAGTAGTTGTTGTTGTATCATTATTTATATATACAAGAAAAATTGTTATATATATATATAGCATATCATATAACATGTATAACTTACTTTACGATAAGTGTATACAAAACACTAAGTTTAGAATTTTTCGCTGTAGGAGCACTAGTCATATGCTTTTCCTCATATTCACCAGTCTTTGGATTTTTGTGTCTGAAGATAAAGTGCACCTTATTCGTGCTACCACACTTGTCAGGTCCAAACATAATCGTGTAAGGTGTTTTATCAGAAAACTCTTCAGCATGAATCCCTTTCTCGGATTCTGTCAATAATTTCATATATGCACCACCACATTCAAGTCCATTCTGAAGTTTTACTTCATATCTAAAGAAATTATTATTATTATTAAGTTCGTTTTGAATCTTTTTTTTTTTTTAAAAAAAAAAAATTTTATAGATCATATGTACTTACTGAACTACCAAACTTTTGTTTGTGTTATCCAAAGGCGTTTTAAGAGATGCAGATATAGCATGATGTGCTGCTTTTGTTTTTAAAACCAGTCCCTTATCTCCTAAAATACCTGGGAAGACACTTGGTTCTTCAACTTCCCACTTTCCAACATAACTGAAAACTTCTTCACCATCACCTTTTTTATCTTTGGTGGCAGAACTTGGAAACCATCGCTTAGACCAGTCGTCTGTGAATTGTTCTAAAAATGGCGCTTCAAGAGTTGTGGGCTATTAAATAAATAAGAAAGTAAGTAAGTAATTAAGTCAAGTCTCGATATTTTTGACGACAATGTGATTGATATTGTTCAAAGGATAAAGGTTTGCTAGGGATAAAAACCCTTGAAGCGAAGCCCAAACACCAAAGAGAAAAAAAAAACCCTTTTTGAGTGAAAAAAAAACGTGTTGTTTTTGTTTTCGAACAAAACAAGAATCTATAGCTACTAAATTACAAACATAACGGAGAAAGTAAAAGAGGGTATTAAGGTATAAAGTCGCCAAACAAAAAAAAAATAGACACATTTTTCTACCTTAAAGTTCGGTCTTTCTTCTGCAGTAGAAGCATTAGGAACAGCTTCTTCGGCAGAAATGCAGACGCTTAGAGCTGAAGCAATTAAGAATGCGAGAAAATGTCGATTACACTTCATCGTTATGGACAACTCGCTTGAAAGCAGTTAAACCAATTACGATTTAATACAAAAGGAATAGGTGTTTTTATTGTTATTTTAAGAAAAGTAAACTTTTTGAAATTTAAGCATTTTTTTATATCTTTTTTACATCATTTGTTTATCAATTGTATGTTATGTGGAATTCTTTTATTGGTTAATTTCTCCAACTTAAATTCGTGTTCGAAATTTATTGGATAAATTATTATCAGAACTGAGATCGAGTTGTCCAATCATATTAAGAAATCTCACTGGGATAACATTGAATAATCACCAAATATATAAAATTTTTATTATTTCTATATAGTATAATTAAATCCATCTCATTTCCATTTTTTATTCTATGTAATTTTACAAAATGTTAGGTAAAATGTCTGATTGTGCCACAGCCAAAAGTAATGGATCATCGAAAAACTATAAATTAAGATATTTTTTAGAAAATGTAAAATTGTTAATTACAAAGATTTTAAAACCCTCACCTTATTGACTGATACGTCTTCGGACAATCCTTTACGTCTACGCGTTTTGACCATAAAATCTCTCGCCAAATGTTGTGCAGGACTTGGTTCCAAAGGTCGAAGAACTATACTCTTGTCCAATGGGTCACCAGGAATAATCTGTTTAATAAACAATGTGATAAATATTATGCGAATACGCAAATCAAATAATGATTTTTTTATTTTTTAAAAAAAAAGGTAAATAAATAAATAACATTCACCTGCCAATGATCAAACATTTGTTGACAAAAGGCCTGTCCTTGAGTATGAGTTCGCATATCTGTTTCGAATCCATTAGCCTCTATTACTGGAATATACGCTTTCACGGTATATAATGGAGAACCGGCTTTTGGTATATCTTGCGTGACATGACCCCTGAATAAATGAAATATTATTTAATATATAAAACTATTGTTACATATAATGTTGAATAAATAATATACCTCCGTCGTGCTAGAACCGTATATACTGCCGAAACACAATCGGCAGGTGCTTGAATCTCAACATAATATACTGGTTCCATTAATCTCGGAGTTGCCTGGAATGGATACAAATGGTATCGTTAATAAATAATTTTTTTTCAAAATTAACAAAATAATTAAAATTACCGTCAAGAAGGCGGAATAAGATACACGTCTAGCGGTTGGAATTATCTGCCCGCCACCACGATATATTGGCTCCGGTGCTAGAACGGCATCCAATATTCTGAACTTAACATTACGTATTGCTATAAAACATGTGCGAAATTAAACCTGTGTACATCCTAACAAATACAATTTATAAAATAATGTATTGTAAACTCACGTTCATCACATAGAGGCCCTTCACGTGTACCCCATTGAAAACCTTGTCGTATCGAATCTCTAACGGAGGAAAGTAATTTTTTGTCTACTTCTGTCGGCAAAGTATCATCCATTAAGATGTTGGGTCCATTTTCGTCGGGACCAAAAGCCCATATTGAACGTGCCGCCAACACATCCCAAGAGTATTTTTCTTCAAAAAATTTTGCAATGTCCTTGGTTGGCCATTTGATGCTTACTTTTGCAGCCTCAATATCTTCAGCAATACCCTTCTCTAATGGCTCAGCTATCATCGTTAATTTATTCCTAAAAAATATACATAACGATTAAAAAAGAAAAATCCGATTATGATATATGATGACGGTAAAAGCTAATTCATACTTTTTATTTGGTGTTTCGGCGAAACATTTTAGAGCCGATGTTTCAACGACAGTTTCACAAAATCGGACAACAGGGTCTGATACTTTTAATTCGATTTCTGCATACATTCGTCGAAGGTCATGTAGCACGCAATCTAAATATAATTCGCCTGTACCAAGAATTATATGTTCTCCAGACTCTTCGACCTATTTCATTTCAAATTTTAACATAAAAATATTCAATGATCTTGGGAAAAAAAAAATTTTTTTACTCACCTTAGTTACTAAAATAGGATAACTTTTATTAATCTTTCTTAATCCATCCAACATTTTTGGTAATTCGGAAGGATTTACAGGCTCAACAGCAACTTTAAGTACAGCGGTAGTTACGAAAGACAAGGGTCGGAAGATATATAAATCCTCGTCTACGTCTTGATTTGTGATAGTCGCCGTTTTTACTATCGAATTATCTACACCTCCTAGGAATACCCAATTTCCTGCGGGAACTCCCTCAACTTCAATTCTATACCTATAAACAAATATTAATAAATAAATTTTATTATTAAAGTAACAATAATAACAAAATCAAAAGAATAAAATTTCGTTGAACGGTTTATTATATATGTTCATGTGAGAATCACCTAGATTCAAATATCCATACGTTCGTAACTTCTTGTAAAGTCATATCTTCCTCATCATCAATTGAATATCCTTCACCGAGTACCCTTACGGATTGACCTTTTCTGACTGTGCCACTTAAAATTCTACCGAATGCGTCAAATGTTGATGCGTCCGATGAATTATATAATTTTGTAATATAAACCATCAATGGCCCATCTGAATCACATTTATACATTGCTTTTGCAACCTTCGTATTCATAGGACCAGTGTAAGCGTGTTCCACCTAACCAAGGAAATCATAATAAAATTAAAATAAAGAAATTATTCAATTACTTTACGTAATAAATTGATGAAATTTACCTTATTGGTAGCATTTTTCTCGGGTGATGGAATGTGCTGTACTACCATATCCACAAAACCAGTTGACGGACCAAAAAATTGATCCAAAACTATACGTAACAAAGGTTTTACATCCAATTGAAAATGTGAAGCTTTCAAAAAGATACCTAATGAAGCTAATGTTCGTTTCAACGTATCTTCATTTTCACCAATCACCTAAATAAATAAATAAAAAACGAGATCAATAAGCTAAAGAGAAAAGGTAAAATGAACAATTAGAAAAAAATGCAATTTTACCTGTGCATAAATTTTATATAACGGACCTAAAATGAAATGTACAAATGACCGTTTACTTTTGCTTTCGAGAGATTTTCTGCTGAATGTTCTCTCTGTAGGATTAAAATATATATCTCCCCACAAACGCTTTGCGAAATCGTCGGCATTTAAATCACCTACAAAAGGGTACATACAATTGAAAACAGGCATAAAAAAGAGCATATAAAATGACAAAATCTTACTGTAAGTGTCGGCATAAAGTTTAGCAAATGATTTCAAGGTAAAGCACCACCCCATTTGGCTTGACGCGAAACAAACATTTCCGCGCTCAGGAGAGACTCGAAGATCCTGTCCGGGGGCATACTGACTAAAAGATCAATAAAGATGCATTAACATTTTGATTCCAAATGATTAGCACATATTCCTCTTTCATTCATACCTGATAATCGTATTCACCTCTTCTATCGTGTGTTTTAATTTATAATATGCATCATTGGGTGGTAACTTTAATTCTAATATTAACCGATCCACTTTATTGACCACGAGAGTAAATGTCAATTTTTCTTGTATAACGTGTTTGATCAGGCGTTCTGTATTAGCCATAACCTGTCGAACAAAAAAATATGTATGTATATATTATATATATATTTTTCATAAACATCTGATTTTTTTTTTTTTTTAAAAAAAAAAAAAATCATAAATCAACCACCTACCCCTTCAATCGAGTCTACAACAATAACCGCGCCGTCAGATAAACGAAGCGCCGCTGTAACTTCATCAACAAAATCCACGTGACCTACAGTAAAAATATCAAATGACGGTTTAAAATTATAAAATTATCCCATTACGAAATGAAAATAAAAAAACATGAATATAAAAAAATGTTTACCCGGGGTATCTAGAATGCTAAATAAATATGATTTACTATTTGAATTTTGTAATATAACAGTCATTGGCATACTTTTAATACTTACACCTCGGTCTCTTTCTAAAGTATGCGTGTCTGTGTAACGTTCCTGCCGATCAAATTGACGTTAATTTACGGAGTTTCCATTTATAGAATATATAGAAGTTTCAAATAATACCTGTCTATCAACATCCCAAGCAACTGATGAATGTGTTTCATTGACCAACATGTCAACGAATGACGTTTTTCCGTGATGTAAATGACCGACAATGGCAATATTCCTGATCAACTCGGGAAAATTCATTATATCCACCAAAAACCTAATAACATCAAAATAGAAATTTAATTAATTAATAAAAATCATATATAAATATATATATTTATTTATTTATTTTATATTTACTCTTTTTTATATCTAGTTTCGGGAAGATCTTTTTCTTGAACCTGAAACTTTTTAATTTTTATGGGTTGAATAATTGGTTCGGATAAAGGCTGTGTATCCTCTTCCTGAACCAATGTTTCAACTTCTGGTCCATAAACTTCTTCTGCGCTCGGGTAATATTTTTTATCTTCGTGAAGGACTACTTGAGTCTGAGGAACATCTGAAAGAAGTAAGCCCCAGCTATCAGTCGAAACATGTTTAAACAATGAAAACAAATAATTGAAGTGTATAGTTAAATTCGCGTCTCATCATGGTTTTGATGATAAAATTTATTAGTTTTATTGCTAAATAATATTTATTTACTGGTTTAATTATTTTTAAACCAAGAAACCAGGAAATTTGTCAGGAACGCGAAAGAATGAAAGTATTTAAGGTATAATAGGGTGGGACGCGTACCGTCTATTTCCATGAGTGCCATACTTGAACTTCCAGGTTCCACTTCACCCTCTTCATAATCTTCCTCTGACTCTTCCTGCATAGCCTGAAGAGTTTCCTCTCCTTCTTCTACATCAGATTCTGGCAAATCGGTACCAAGATAATTACCGAATTCGTCATAAAATGATTCGTCCATATTTTATATAAATAGCTGTGGTTTCGAATGAAAATGAAGTCGAGTGAAGAAAAAAAAATTTTAAAAATTGGATAATTATGGTGTTACAAGATTGTCTAAGCCACTTGAGCACAATGTACGAAAAGAAAATTTCCCGAGCCAATCAAGTTAATGGCTAAGCACATTAAAAATTTTTTATTTTATTTTATTAAAACAACAAAATTATTTATTTATCAATAACCTTTATATCGAATTACATGATCAGCTCCGCCAAGCTAAATTAAAAGTATTTCGAAGAATTTTAATTAGTACATTTACTTAAAAATTCATAAATTAAAATACCTAACCATAAATATATGCTTACATCGATCACATCTATTTCCTCAAGCGAAGGTCCTTTTCTCTTATATTTTTCGGGTAATTGTGAATAATCCATATAAATTGATTTACTATTATTTGATTGCTTTTGTGCAGAAGAAAATGAAGTCTTGGTTCCACTTTGCGCTGCCGGATGTAGTTTTTGAACTTCTTCAACGATTTCTCCTTTAAGATTATTTTTTAATTAATATAAAGGAATTTATCTAAAAGAGAATTGTATCTTTATATTACCTTTGTGAAGTTTACTTCTTGGTCCAAGAAATTTAATAAGTGGAACGTGTTTATGCAAAGCATTAACAATTCGTGTTGGATACATTTCTTTTTAATTTATATAAATAAAACTGTTACTATGAAGAAAAAAATAAGATTAAGAAATGGTAAATAAAGTAAATCCTCCAGATATATCCGGAAATTTGTGTTCCAGATTTTATATTCGAATCGGACTTTAAAATCACGTGTTTTTTGGAAAAGCTTTCTTGTTGTAATGACAACTGCGGAACAAATTTTACCGTTTGAATGTGTATTATCAGAGGAAGAGAGCAGAGTTTTAGAGACAGGTATCATGCTATTTTTGTTATTTTTAAAATATAATTACATGTATTAGTTTTATAATTTAAAGGTTTTACCTTCAAAATAGTTGATATATATGTGAGTGATGTGGAGCCAAAAGAAACTGAACGTGTGATAAAGTAAGGTTTTATTTAATGAGGATTTAATTAGACGTAATTTTAATTTTAAATTTTCCTTTTTTTTTTTTGATTAATAAGATTTTTAGAAAATCATTGTCCTCGTGATAATGAAATCTTATGTCATGCTAAAAGGATAAAGAAAACTTCTCACGACAAAGGTAAATTATGAATTCATTATTTATTATCGTTTTAAAATTCGAAATTTCATCAATTAAATCAAAAAAATTTTTTTTTATTGTAGGATTTACATTGGCAGTGTTAATATGCTCAGTTGAAAAGATTACAATCACAGAATTAACAATCTTAATAAATAATCATAACCTTGGTTCAATACTTAAACCACGTATACAGCAAATATGTAAATATCCTGCTATTACGCGTTCTCAATTTGATGAATGGAGAAAATTATGGCCAATAAATTTTCGTGAAGATCCTAGAAGGTACTTGAAGTGTATTGAATTTGTTGTCTCAATGATTGACATTTAGTATTGATCTTTCTTCTCGTGATTAAATTTAGAGAAACGAAATTTACTTTAAAAGAAATTGAGCGTATAAAACAATATATGGATAATGCTATTCAATTATCTTCTCAAGCAAAATCAAAAGGTGAATTACCAATTGGATGTATATTAGTTGATCCAAAGAAAAACATTACACTGTCGGAAGTTATTGATACTCGTAATTCAACAAAAAATCCACTTCGACATGCTATATTAAATTGTATAGATGATATAGCTTCATTAGAAAGATCAAATCGTGTTAAAAAATCAAAAAAAATTGAGGTTCCTCGAAAAAGAACATTTAATGAAGTTACTATTGAAGGAAAAGATGATGTAGAAATAACACTCGATGAAGATGATTTTGTTGAACAAAGAGAAAATGTTGAAAGCGCTTATTTATGTAAAGGGTATGATGTATTTGTAACTCATGAACCATGTATAATGTATGTATTTTTATTTTATTTATTTCTTTATTTTCAGAAATTTTTAACGTGATATACTTTGCCATAGGTGTTCAATGGCACTTGTACATTCAAGGGTTAGACGAGTATTTTATGGTCGTTCAAATACAGTATCAGGTGGTTTAGGTTCTTGTTATAAAATTCACACTCATAATTCACTTAATCATCATTTTCAGTCATTTAAAGGACTTTTACAACATAAAATTGATGATTTACCACTAATTGATTGTTAAATCATTATTGGTTAAGTGATCCGAATTTGGTATTAAATCTTCTTTAAAGATCATTATTTAGATAATTTCTAGTATTTTCAAAAAAAGTACTCCATAGATACAAAAGTATTATTTGTTTCTTTTAGTCCAAAAAAGTTAAAGAGGGTAACAAAAAAAATATAATAAGTTTTTTTTTTTTTCAATCAACTCAATAAATGTATTTATCTATTTCATTATCCATACAAAATTCTGATATTTAAATTCTTAAATTTCATCCTCATCCATATTATATAAAAGTCTTAAATCTATTTTATCAATTCTTTCTAATGTAATATAAAAACAATAAAAATTAAAAAATTTCAGTTATTAATATTACAACCTTTATTAAATAAAATAAAAATTTTATCAATATATTATGCAATTTAACATCCATTATTATAATAAACTTTTTTCTTTAAAGAAGAATATAGGTTAATTTTTAACCTATTAATTAATCAGTTAAGAATTCTTAGGCTAGTTTCAACCTCATTACTTACAATTTTAAAGATTTATTGGATTTGTTAATTACACCTATATGAATGCATGAATTTCTATTTATTTTTCTAAATGAATGAAAATGTGCAAATCTCGTAGTTAGCAGTATTAGCGATAGCTGTAGAAATTTACCATAAATATACGAGCAAAGTAATAATATAATACTAGGACTTACATTAAATGACCTGGTAGTCCCTCTCTCCTTGATAGCATTATTACTTTTATTTATAATAAAAGTTTCTTAATTAAACTTTAATTTTTTAATTACACTATATGTTAAATCATGTATTACAACAGATTTATTTTTATGAAAATTATATTACATTTCGTAAGTGATTGTAAAGTTTAAATATATAAAAAACTTCAAATTTGTATTACATTTCTGCTAAGCAAAACCTAGAGATACATGTTTCTAGTTTTATAAAATATCTATTTTATTTCACTTGCTTTTTAAAAATTTTCTTTTTAATCTTTTTAATTTTTTCAGAGCCTTTTTAGCAGATAGCCTCTTTGTACTATCTTGACTTAGCAAAAGATCCCTAAATTTAAAGATTTTTTCTAAAAGATTAATAATCTAAGTGATTACTTTTTTAATTAATTTCCTTACACTCCATAAATCAACTTCACTACAATGATTTCTAGTGAATACTTTCAGAGTATGTTTCTCAGTAGTAAAATACATTGCTAAATTATTTGGATATTTAGTAGCATCATCTTAATCTATAAAAAACTATTTTGATAGATCATCATATCTTCAAAGAATATTATCTTATCAGATATCCTGATGATATATAGGATCATTATCATCATATAAAACCTGTAGATATTATAAAGAATAAATAATATATCTATCTAAAAATTGCTAACATATTTACCACAAGTACTTCTAGAATACAGATAATAGTTTTAAATAATTTCTGTTAATTACTTGATATAACTTGTAATCCTTTTAGAGAAAAATACACTAAACCGCTTTCTTTATTGTAATAATATAGATGATTAATATTAGGTACTTCTTTCCTAACTAATTTTTTATAAAGATTAACGAGTTTTTAAATATGAGTTTGAATATTTTTAAAAAGATAGGTTTTTTTAATACCTGTGTTACTTATTTTGATTATACAATTATTTCTGCAATATAATTGATAAAAAATGACATTAGATTATAAGATAATTTGAAAGAAAGTAAATTCCTTACCTTATCTATATATTGGTTTAAACTTAGGTATTCTACGTTTTTCAATCACTGGCTGAAGCACATTAATAATACAGCTTAAATTGATTATTCTTAGCAGATGACAAATATGTTCATTCCTGAACTTTAAGTTTGATTACACAATGTCAACAACATCTGGTATAATATAACCCCTTACAGGTCAGCAAATAGCAACAAACATTATTTGAGATCCATGGGTATAGTAACCTGTGATTGCAAAATTACGTTTAATATATAGCACATCTTGAAACAGATACAAAATCTTACCTAAGACATATGGAGCTGGATCATAAGTTCATACAAGTTTTTTTCCAAGTTCTGATTTTAGATTTTCAGTGCTGATAGATAATTTTTCTCTTTTCTAAATGGGCAAACATTATTAAGGATTAGATCATATTAAGGTCAATCATCTTTTGTACTCATGAATTTACTACTATTTTGAATAGATATACTATTGAGAATGAGATATTTCAAAAGGTTTCTAATGCAATTGTCTCATAATCCAATAAAGGAATATTCAGTTCTATCATTTGGAGGAATTTTATCATTTGAGATAGATAAGAATATCACACAAATACAAAAATCAGTAGTATTTTCAGTATCACTAACTCAAAATAAGAGTCTAAGATCATCTAGATTGCAAAGATCTGTGACATTTTTTTGATTGTAACAAATTAATTTTATTTTAGGATATAAGTATCTTAATATCTTCAAAAAGTTCTTTATCAAGGAATTCTGAAAGAAATCCAATTTCTGAAATTGTAAGTTTTTTAAAAACTTCACCACTGACATCTTAGACTATGAATGTAGAGAAGAAACATTATTAGTAAATGATAGAACAAATTAGTAATGCAACTATAATAATGATACATTCTTACCTGCTTTTCTTTTTCTTTCAAAATCTAATTAGTTTTGAAAAAAAATAATAATAGTGAGAAAACGAATATGATAACGAGTGATAACTGCAAATTTCTTATTCGAAAGAGAGACATTTACTAGTAGTGAAAGCTATAATAGCAGGAAATATGAAGATATAAAAGCATCTTCATTTTAGTTTTTTTTGTCATTATCAAAATATTCTTTAAATTTAATCTTAGGTTGCATTTTCATGTTAAGATCTTTAATTTTATCTTTTATATAAATTTTATTATAATGCTCAAAAGTTCAACTTCAATTTTATAAAGATCTATACTGTGGAATCTTAAACTACCCTTTTTACTTTTTTTCTATAAAAAAGAAGCTCTTTGAAGCTTGAAACAGTAAATTGATCAAAATATCAATTTTATCATCATTGGTGTATACTTTACTAATGATAACATTGAAATTATTATCAAAAGCTTCTCCTAAAATTAAATAATTACTGAAGCTGTTATTATATTTCTGTAAGTGCTGTAAATGCTGTAAATAATAAAATATATTTTAAAGAAAGAAAGTTAGAAAGAAAAGTATTGAAAGTTATACGTATATATATACTTTTTTGAATATATAGTAATTAATTATAAAATGATCTTTATAAACTCTTAATTAGAAATACGAAATATAATATAATGATATAAACATAGTATAAAAAAAGTTTATATAATGATATAAGCATAGTAAAAAAAGTTTATATAATAATATAAGCATAGTAAAAAAAAAGTTTATCTAATAATATAAGCATAGTAAAAAAAAAGTTTATAAAATTAATTTATTAGCTTAGATTGCATTTATAAAGTATTTATAGGGATAGACGTTAATTAACTATTAATTAATAAAATTTTTTACAAAGTTATATTTAGAATTATGTAGTGATACAAAAATATATATGGTTCTTTGCTAGAAAAATGAGGTTCTCAGACCTTCTGACCGAAATTGAGATTTTGCTTTATATTAATGTGTAACATATAAACTTTATTTGGTTAAATTTTATAGTAATTTATTATACCTTACCTTTTAAATAATATCATACTGTAATTAAATACTATATACTCTAAAATTAATGAGAATTTAGATAATGCGAAAGGAACTGCCATTCCTTTTGCTATGTAAAAAGCATATAGGATAGACAGATATGAATTTTTAATAACTTTTCATGAACTTTTTATGCTTTTATTCTTTCCTTTAAACTTACTACTAAAATTTTTATCTTAGACTGATCATTCACTTTTTTATTTACAAAATAAAGTTTTCACAATAATAAAGAGTGAAATACCATCATTTAATAAAATTATATTAAATGGTGATATCCCACTTGTCCTAGATTATATTATCATCATATAATCTGGATACCACCATATGATCTAAATAATATAATCTAATTATTATCATATAATCTATTTATTTTCGTGTATCAGGTATCTTTTTTATACTCTAACTATCCTTTTAAATCTTTCTTGATATCTGTATTTTTTATCACCATATAATCTAACTACTATTTACCAATTAACTTAACTACCACTATATAATCTAAATATCATGCTTTTTTTCTTATTTCTGAGTCATTTACATGCTAAATTCTATAATGAAGTTGTTGGTTCTCTGTAGCTGTTTAGATATTTAGTTTTATGTTAAAGATGCTGACCTCCTGCATCTGGTTGAATGCTGGATTCTATATTAGAGTGCTTATCCTTTGCGCCTATTTGGTTGCCTTTCTAGATATAGAAATAATTTAAAAAAGGTGACGGGTGGCGTAGTTAATTTGCAAATCAGATTTTGGCTAACATTATGCTATATTTTAACCTGATCTTTAGGGCGGAATATCTTAGCGTTTTGTGATTGGATTCGTGCAGTTTTATATTCATTTGAAAGAGGGCATTGAGAGCTTTCCAATAATACTAAGATCACATAAATCGGATGCCTGGATGCCGAGTTATTGCGTCTCAAAGTTTTGAAAAAAAATATGAAATAGTGCTGGCTGAAATTAACGAAATTTACTATGCTTTACTGCGTTAATCATATGTTTTGATTCCTCACCAGTTCTAGGCACTTTTCTGCCATTTTCAAGTAACTTTTAAGTAACTTTCAAAGGCTTGGTTTGGTGGTCAGTTGGTTAGAAAATCAGAGGTGTAATTTGTATTATATTAATCAGCCCATATATTTTCCTTTTCAATTGTCATTTCTTGATTACCAGATGAGATACATGCGAAGTGCTGAATTTGCAATCCATCTATTTGCTAAAAATGTGTTGCAATCCATTCACTCATTTTTTGATTGCTGGTGAGGCATAAAGTGCTGATGTTGTACCATTCTTGCAATCCTATCTATGACCATTTTGATTGCTAAGAATAAGGCACAAAGTGCTAAATTAGTTCAGGTTATATAGCTTTTATACCTTTTTTTGTGTATTCTCCTAAATTTTTCTGCCTTCCTAATCTCTTTTCTGCCTATTGACGGTAGTATTTAAAAGCATAATTTCTTATTTTATTTCTATATAATTCTACCTTTGAATACTATCAAATTTATACCCTAGTTTTCGCCCAAGCCTTCCTAGAAATCTTTCTTGTATAGTTTTTATACTGGGATACTTTAAGGCAGTAATGTACATTTTTGATATCCCAGAGATTTGTTGTCTCAGCTATATGTCTAAACCTGTTTCACACTATGTCTCAAAGATCCTATCTATTCTATCTATGTTCTATCAGCGTCTCATCAGTGTCCCATCAATGTTTCATAACAATATTATTTTGGGATACTATTACATCGATTATTTTTAGGCATTATTATATTGATTACTTTTGGATACTACTACATTAAATACTTTGGGTACTATCATATCAACTACTTTTAGATACTATTACTAATCTAGTATTTTTCTAACAAGCATATTCGCTCAAAATTTTTATTTTGAAGATTTGGAAAATTTCTATGTAATTTTATACTAATTTTTTGCATATACTACCATGTTACTTGCGCAAAAAATGGCTTAAAAAATATATAAAACTTTACAATAAACTTTCTAGGTATTTTGATGATTCGTCTAAAGCAGATATAAATAAGATCATTAAATTAAATGGATAAGTACTCAGCTGAAATTACCACACCTCTACTAAAATACTTAGCCGTAAGCATTTCACATAATATTATTTATATATTTTTTTCTCCTGCAATAATACTGGCTAACTTCAATTCCTATATTCAATCTGGATTCGCAAAGTGAACATCTCTCTAACCTTTGATTATATAACCTAGCCTCAGATATGCCTAGAGGTGTAAATCACTAGTTTGAATGTATCAGTCACTTTTTTCTCACAAATTCCATATTTTTTTCTGACTACAAACTATATAATTGCAATAAGTAATAAGGTAAGTATAGAATATATTAACATAGGTAACATTAAGAAGTCTGCAACAATAGGAATGATCAGTGTTAAAGGTATTGCTTGGGATAATAACACCGTACTGGTTGAAATTAAAAAAATCAGACATGTGAAAATTGACCTAAATTCAGCCTAAATTCAGCCTAAATTTGGCAAATTATCAAAAATCAGCCTAGCCAATTGGCATACATCAGCAATTGGCATACATCAATTCTTTTTCTCTCTTAACAATACCAAAATTTAGAAAAAACAAAAATTTTATTTTTCAAAGAAAACTTATTTTTTTATTAAAAACTTTAATCATACAATATGTCTCTTAATATTTTTAAAAACCTTTTTACTAAAGAAGTCTTAGACTTTCAAAAACTAAAAAATTACATTATGCCTGAACTTGAAAAAAGAGACTTTGCCATTGCAAAATTTCTCTTTTACAAAACACCAGAAGTTTTCTGGCTTGTCAGGAATAAAGATGACACCTCAATTAGTTGCAACAGGTGACAAATAGGTATCACAATGTTACAACGAATTGCAACATTATTAAAATTTAAGTTGCAACAGGTGACAAATAAGCGTCACAATGTTGCAACACCATCTTTAGTCAAGAAACTAAATGAAGAATATCTCAAAGCTTTTTCAGCTAAACGTACAGTTCAGAAAATTTTTCTTAATAATAATTTTATAGACAACCTTGCAAGGTCTTGTGTTTACAACTTTCATGAAACTGGAATGAGTAACCATAGAATTCATAATACAAAAAATATTATCTCAAATATAATTGAAACTGCTCTTCCCATTAACGAAAATGAAGATATTATTTCAACTATTAATGAAGAGAAATTAAATTCACAAATGGATACACTCAATGACGATGATATGCTTACGGATACAAATAATACACAATACAACAATCTTTTTTCATCGCTAATATCTTCTAACACACAACAACCTTCTTCCAAAAATCACAACAAACCGTCACCAAACAACTAAAACAAAAAGAATAATAAACAAACTTACGCGCCTATTTTACAACAAAACAAAAGTAATAATACTTTAGACGCGTCTGTAGATCATATACACAATAATAACAATATTGACACGTCATTACACAATCCAATCAACAACAAACAGAAACAAAAATTACACGAAAAAGATCTTCATCATACTTTAAAAAATTCTTCTCACATGACCCAACCTAATAAAAAAGAAAATGTTTTCACGTCACTATTAGCTTTCACTATGCCAGGCAATACTAGAATAGACAAATTAAATTTCTTATCCTCTATTTTTCTCATAAACCTGGTTTTGTAAACATTGACTGGAAATTTCACAATGGTAATGCAAACATCTTTATTGAATTTAATAATAGAAAATTTTTATTAGACGCTATAGACGATGCTTTGATAAGTTACCAGAGCTTCCATTCAATCTAATTAATGAGGCTCCTTCTCTGAATCTCCATCACAACAATTATACTTATAAATTAAAAACAGTCCCTAGCAATA